GATAAGTCTGGCCAGGGGTTTATCAATCTTGTTAATTCTTTCAAAGAACCAGCTCCTAGTTTCGTGGATCTCTTCTACTGTTCTTTTGGTTTCTAGTTCATTGGTTTCTGCTCTGATCTTGATTATTTGTCTTTTCCTGCTGGGTTTAGGCTTTATTTGCTGTTCTTTCTCCAGCTCCTTTAGGTGTAGGGTTAGGTTGTGTATTTGAGACCTTTCTTGTTTCTTGAGAAAGGCTTGTATTGCTATATACTTTCCTCTCAGGACTTTAACGCAGTCAAATTTATCAAATTTTTCCTACATGGCTAAGTGATTTTGGTCTTATGTTTTTCCCGACCCACAGTGAGAAAGATTGTCTCCTATATGATTTTCTAAAATATTTTGTTTCACCTTATACAATTCCACCCCAAATTGATTTCTGCTGTATGTATAAAGTAGAAGTACAAGAAGTCAAGTGTTTAAAATGTGTTTATTCCTGGGCTATTATATTTCAATGACTTGTTTAATTATAGTTACATGAGTAAATTAATTGTATTGACAAGAGTTTCATTCAATACCAGGCAGAGAAAGTTCCACAACATTGTTTCTCAAAGATGTTTTAAATTAATACTGGGCCTTTGTTATTCCTATATAAATTTTATTTTTACTTATGTATGTATGGATTTATTTAATTTCCATACAAATTTTAGAATCAGCTTGCCAAGTTTTAGAAAAACAGAAACCAAATGAGATCACTTGGTATTAAACTACATCTTTACATATACTAAGAGTATTATTGAGAGTTTTAAAATTGTTTACCCAATCTGTGAACATGGAATTATCTCTCTAATTAAAGTCTATTCAATATCGCTCATAGTTTTTCAAGTTTCTGTCTTCCTGTCTTACACATATTTCTAAATGTTCACCCTACTCTATTGCTAGGTATGTCGGCATAGTTACTTCTTAGAAAGGACTGTCTGAGAAACACCGTTTGGCTAGTTATTATTTACACCTCTGTAGTTTTCCAACTCACTGGTTTCTACTTTTATCTTCATTAAATTATTTCTTCTGCTTTGCTTAGTCTTTTTTTTAAAAAAATATTTATTTGAGAGAGAGCGAGTACAAGTGGGGATAGCGGCAGGCCAAGGGAGAAGCAGACTTCCCACTGACCAGGGAGCCCCATGCAGGACTCATCCCAGGACCCTGAGATCATGACCTGAGCCGAACCAACTGAGCCACCCAGGCACCCTGCTTAGTCTCTTTTGTTTTTTAAAATAAGTATGTCAGAATACAAATTTTCCTATAAGCAGTGCTTTACCCGAAGCCCAGAGGTTCTGATACCATGCTTTTCATTGTTACAGTTTTCTGGATATACTGCAATTTCAGATCTCATGCCAACAGGTTCTTAAGTTCCAGAAGGAGGTTTCAATTTCCCTATATTGTTTGCAATTTCTAGTTTTGTTGAACTTTGGTCTTTCTGTTGTTTTGAAATTTAATGATGTTTCCTTTTTACCTAATGTTTTTCGTATTTTGTGACTCTTCCACTGGCAATTAAAGGGTTTATTCTTTGTTTTCAGAGTCTGAAAAACGTTTATAATTGTATCTTAGTTTCTTGTAAAATGTATTATTTCTATGTTCCACAGCCCCAGCTGTTTTCCAGTGGATCTGTAACAAATCAGAGGATACACTGTGGCTACCATGTCTAATGTGTTTCATTATTATTACTATTATTTTTAGAGAGAGAGATGCAGTACACCTCTGTGAGCATGAGTGGGGGAAAGGCAACGAGAGAAGGAGAATCAGAGAATCTCACTCAGACTCTTCGCTAAGAGCAGAGCCCAATGCGGGGCTCGATCCCATGACTCAGAAATCATGCCCTGAGCTGAAATCAAGAGTCAGATGCTAACTGACTAGTCACCCAGGCACCTGCCTAATGTGTTTCAATATCACTTTATATTTCTTAGTTTTGTTTTGTTTTGAGTGAATCTTGATAATCTCTTTAGAACACAGATATTAAAACTCTCATAGCTCCTTCTTTATTGTCTTCTTTAACATGATAAAAGTACCTTTTTCCTCATTTCATGGTTTTTAACCTGAATTCAATCTTGACCAAAATTAAGATAAATGATCCCAGCATATGCTTTTTGTTTTGGCAAAGCATTTTACCATTTGTTAATATCAAACTTTCCAAATTATCCTTCAGGTCGATCTCTGATAAAATCTGATAATACATTCTCACAACAGTTGGCTTTAACCCATTTTCATTACTTGCTATGGCAGCTAGGTTTCTCTTACTTCATGTTGTACAGTGTGCTTAACAAAGCCTTTATAAAAAAACACATTCAGTAATAGGCATGTTTGTTTTATTATGGGAATTTTTCTAATAATTATGAAGGGTGTATTTTGCCCCTCATGGTTATCTTTATAATCTTACGTAGTTCCTTAATCATCTATCTAGTAAGATAGTATCTAGTAATTCCCTAACACAATCAATAATAACATTAGTTTCTTCTCTCTCTTCCCATTCATTAATCTCCAGTCTTATATGCTTTCATTTCTTAGTTTTTATCTTTTTTTTTTTTTACTGTTCAGTATAACTCTATTACTTGATTTGTCAATTTTAAATGATATACACTTAGGCTCCCAGCTGTTAAAGATGAGAAAATGATCAAGATTGCATCCATCCCTTGTGTTAGACCTTCCCCTTCCATATACTACTGGATATGATATAGTCTTCCTCAACATCCACATGGATAGGAGCTCTATAAGAGAGTGTTGAAATTATTTCACAGCAGACATCTCTAACTGACCACTCTGAATCTAATTTACCCTGAATACTTTCTACCAGTACTTAATAACTCACCTGAGAATCTCCTGATTAGAAATTCTTTCTCTAACAAGCATGGATCTTTTGCTTGCTCCAACCTGAAGATCACTTCTGGTTTTGTATAGCAATACCCTGTAAATGGGACGTAATTTAAGACTTGGGCCTGCTGCATGGGCTTCTAGGATTCTGAACGTGAAAGAAGACACATTTTCAGGGACAGCACAACAAAGATGCTCATTTAAAGCTTTCTTTGCAGAGTTGACAACAAAAACATTTATTTTCTGATGCTCAAAAGTATTAAACTCCTTGAGCTAAATCATAAGCATACATGACACTGAACTCAACAGGGATCTACATGCTTTAGGCTTTATAAAGGGACTGCATGGGCTTTCCACTTTATGCCATGATGAAGCAGCAGTAGATGGCAGGCACTGCAGGACCAGGATCCCAGGAAAAAGGAAAAATGGAGTTTCAGGCCACATAGCAGAACCAGAGCAGAACCTGGAGGTCCCAGTAAGTTGAGGAGACAGACCAGAAATTCAGAGATCAAGCGTAACTACCATCTGTGGTATAAAATACTGGAGACAGAGATGACTGACAGAGACCCACTGGCATCTGCAGGAGGGTCGCTTGGAGTCTCTGGCTGAAGAAAAGAAACGATTTGAAATAGGCCAGAGTTTTCTATTCTTAACAAAGTGTGCTCTCAAAAGGAATTACTGAACCAGAGCCTAACCTGCTGAGGGTTGATCAGAGCCTAGCCAAACTGGGGGAAAGGGAATATTGACTCCAGTTCTCTCTCATCTTCCACATGGGGAATGGGCTTCCATGTGCCACTGAGCCAGGCCCCAAGTGCCACAAGGTCAGAAGCTCCTTTGTTTGGGACGTCACTCTACGTCACTCTTCATCTCACTATGGATTCATATCCTTTAATAAAGGGGTAAACCTACATGTTTCCCTGAGTTCATCAAACCTAAGGAGGTCGTCTTTGGAAGCTCCAATCTGTAGCCGGTTGGTCAGAAGCACAAGTAACAGCCTGGGGCTTGTGACTGGCATGTGAAGTGAGGGGGTGGCAGCAGTCTGGTAGGACTGAGCCCTTAACCTCTGGAATCCAATGCTATCTCCAGGTAGATAGTATCAAAATTGAGTTAAATTCCCAGACACCCTATGGATGTCAGAAAATTGCTTGGTATTGTGTGGGAGGGAACTCCCCATATTGGAAATGGGTCCACAAACCCTCAAAGATGTCCCTCTAGCCATCCTGTCCCACCTTAGCTAGCTCTTTACACATCTTTTTTTTTTTTTTTTAAGACTTTATTTATTTGTCAGAGAGGGCAAGAGAGTGCACATGCACACACAAACAGGGGGTGGGGCAGAGGGAGAAGCAGACTCCCCACTGAGCAGGGAGCCCAACGTGGGGCTCGATCCCAGGACCCTGAGATCATGACCTGAGCTGAAGGCAGACACTCAACTGACTGAGCCATGCAAGCGCCCTGCTTTTTATACATCTTAAAAAATTTAAAATTTAAAAGCACTAGTGAAGTTCAGGGTCTAGGGGCACAGGTCCACCAAAAGACTGACCTAATTACAGGACTGTGAACATTTCTCTTGCCCTACAGCTGACCATTAAATTACTAAAGCCCTGTCACTGCAGATCTTTTTACCCAGCACATCACATTCACCTTACAACAAAAAATTACAAGACATGACAAAAGGCAAGAAATGTGGTTTGAAAGGATGGAACAAACACCAGAATCAGAGTTAGAGATGGTAAGAATGCTGGAATTATCAGACTAGGAATTTTTTTTTAACTATGATCAATATGCTATAGGCTTTTTAGAACATTAGATAATACACAAGAACAAATGGATAATGTAAGTGAAGAGTTAGAAAGTATAACAAAAAAGCAAAAAGAAATGCTAGAGATAAAAAAACACGAACAAATGAAGAATGCCTTTGATGAACACATCAGCAGACTACACACGGCTGAGGGAATCACTGCACTTGAGAATCTGACATTGAAATTTTCAGAATTGAAAAACAAAGAAAAAAGACTTTTGAAAAAAACCCCAGAATATCCAAGAACGGTGGGGCAACTACAAAAATGTAACATACGTATAGGAATACTAGAAAGAGGAGAAAGAGAGAGGGGAACATTCAAAGCAATATTTGAAGCTGAGAATTTCCTTCAAATTGATGTCAGACACAAAACCATAGATCTGGGAAGCACAGAGAACACCAAGTACAACAAATGCAAAAAACAAAACTACACTTAGGAATATTGTATTCAAACTTCAGAATATCAAGTCAAGAAAAAAACTTTTTTTCAAAGATTTATTTGCGGGGGGAGGGATCGAGGGAGGGGGAGAGACAGAAACTCAAGCAGACTCCATGCTCAGTGTGGAGCCTGACATAGGGCTTGATCTCATGACCCTTAGATCAGACCTGAGCCAAATCCAAGAGTTGGATGCTTAACCAACTGAGCCACCCAGGCAACCCCAAGAAAAAATCTTGAAAGAAGCCAAAGGAAAAAAAAATCTTACCCAGAGAGGAGCAAAGATAAGAATTAGATCCAGTTTTTCTTTCTCAGAAACCATATAGTAAGGAGAAGAGTGAAATAAAATATTTAGAGTATTGGGAGAAAAAAAATCCACCAATCTTGAATTCTGTACTTTGCAAAATTATCCTTCAAAAGTGAAGAAGAAATGCTTTCTCAGAAGAATAGAAATTGAGCCAATTTGTTATTAGTAGACCTGCCTTGCAAGAAGTGTTAAAAGAAGTTCCTCATAAAAAAGGAAAATGGTACAGGGGCGCCTAGGTGGGTCAGTTGGTTAAACATCTGCCTTCAGCTCAGGTCATGATCCCGGGGCCGTGGGTTCGAGCCTTGCATCAGGCTCTCTGTTCAGTGGGGAGTCTGCTTCTTCCTCCCCCTCTGTGCTCACTCGCTTACTCTCTCTCTCAAATAAACAAATGAATACAATCTTTAAAATAAAAAAGGAAAATGGTATAGCTCAAACTCAGATCTATACAAAGAAAGGAAGAACGTTGGAGAATGTATAAGTGAGGGTAAAATAAAAGCTTTTATTTTTCTTACTCTGAATCGATGTAACAGAAAAAGTTTGCTCTAAATAATATATACTATTATGTATGTCTGTATGCATATAAGTAAAATTAATGACAGTCATGTTAAAACGAGTGGAAGAGAAGAATTAGGAATATTTTGTTAGGGTACCTACCTATACTACCTGAGAAACTGTAGAATGTTATTTGAAGCAGACTTGGATTACTTGTAAAACAAAAACAGAAACAAAGGACAAGGGCAAAAAATAGAAAACAGCAACAAACGTGGTAGGTATTGCTCCAACTACATAAAAAATCACTTTGAATGTCAATGGTCTAAATATATTAATTAAAAGACAGATTGTCAAGATGAATCAAAAAACAAGACCCAAACATATGTTGCCTTCAAGAAATCCACTTTAAATATACAGACACATATAGATTAAAAGTACAGAGGTGGATGAAGATACACTACACTAACACAAATCAAAAAAAAAAAAGGGAGCAGTTATATTAACTTTCAGAACAAGGAAATTTATCAAGGATAAAGAAAGGAATTATGTAATGATAAAGGGGTCAATTGTCCAAAAACATGCAACAATTTTAACGTGTATGTGCCAAATAACTGAATGTCAAAATACATAAGACAAACACTGATAGAACTGTAATGAGAAAATAGATCTATTATTTATTTTAGTTGGGGATTTCAACACCCCTTTATCAAAAATGGATGGACCCACCAGGTAGAAATCAACAGGGGCACAGCTGAATCCAAGGGCACCATCAATCAGTTGGATATAAATGACACCTATAGACTATGTGATCCAACAACAGCAAATTACACATTCTTCTCAAGTTTATATGGAACATTCTCCAAGACAGACCACACTCTGGGCAATAAAGCACACCTTAACAAATATTTACAAAAATAGAAATCATACAATGTATACTCTCAGACCATAATGGAATTCAACTAGAATTCAACGAAAAGACAGATGGAAAAAAACCAAAGTACTTGGAAATTAAACACACACTTCTAAATAACACATGGCCAAAGAAGAAAATCTTAAGACAAATTAGGAAATATTTTCACTGAAATGAAAATACAGATTATTCAAAATCGTGGGAGAAGTGAAAGCACTACTTAGAGGGAATTTATAGCAGTGAATGCCTAAATTAAAAAGAAGAAAGATCTAAAATCAATAATCTCAGATTATACTATAGGAAACTAGAAAAAAGATATTAAATCCAAAGTAAAGAGAAGAAAATAAATTTAAAAATTAGAGCAGAAATCAATGAAATTGAAAACAGGAAATTAATGTATAAATTGATGAAACCAAAAGTTGAATCTTTGAAAAGATCAATATAATCAACAAGCCTCTAACCGGGCCAAATAAAAAGGACAGAGAAGATTATCTCCCTGTTTCATCAGAAATGAAAGAGGGGACATCACAACAGATCCTGTGGATATTAAAATATAAAAAAAGAATACTATCAACAACTCTATGCCCACAAATTCTATAATCTAGATGATTCCTTGAAAGACAGCATATGCCAAATCTCACACAAGAAGAAAATAGTACCAATAGGCCTATATGTATGAAAGAAATTCAATCAAGAAATAACCACCTTTCAAAACAGAAGTCATCATGCCCGGAAGGGTTCACCAGTGAATTCTACCAAACATTTAAGAAGAAAATTATACCAATTCTCTACAATCTCTTCCAGAAGACAGAAGCAGAGGTAATACTCCCTAACTCACTCTATGAGAACAGCATCCCCTAATACCCAAACCAGAAAAAGACAGTATAAGAAAAGATAACAAAGCAATAGTATCGCTCACTAACATACATGCAAAAATCCTTAGCAAAATATGAGCAAATCAGGGGCCCTTGGGTGGTTCAGTCATCTCCCTCTGCCTGCTGCTCTGCCTGCTTGTGCGCCCTCCCTCTGTCAAATAAATAAATAAAATCTTTAAAAAAATATATAAAATTCAGTGTATATAAAAAAATTACACATCATGACCAAGTGGTATTATCCTAGGTATGCAAGGTTGGTTCAACATTCAAAAATCA